CCTCTGGGGCTCTAGGCAGGGACTCGTTCCCTGTAAGGTGTGCAGGAAGGTTCTGAAACAACTTTACTCCTGCATCCTTCATGACTCTAAAGTCAGAACCACATAGGAGTTACTTCCAAGTTCAGCTGGGATGAATCTGGGACTCCCCCTTGAATCACCGCACAGCTTCTATTGCAGTTGCCTTTTAGACACGGAAATTTCTCAGGCCTTCCTTTGCAAAGCTGGAAGTTTTCCTGTGTGGAATTTTGCCTTCCTCCATTCTGCTTCGGAAAAGACTTGTCTTTAATCTTCTCATCTCTTTAAGCACACACTTTGGCAGTAGCACCAAGTTTCTGGTGCCTATTTTTGTCCTCATTCTGCACATTTTGCATTTCTTTTGCTCCATTTTTTTCATTTTCATGATAGATCTGCATAATAGTGATTCCCAGTATCCATGCATCAGAGTCAATATCAAGGAAACTAATCCATTATTTTTCAATTTTGCCCCAGGAATATTTTTTAGACATGACAAAAGGCAGTCATATTCTTTTAAAGAAATAATTTTTTTATTATTTGTGATTATAACCATATTATTTCTATGTTCCTTTCCTTCCTCCAAACCCTCTCATATACCATTGCTTGATATTTTTCAAATTTATGGCCTATATTTTTTTGATTCTTTAGCAAAATATCACAGAATGGTTTCTAGCCCAGTTTCTGTTATTGTTCTTCAGAATCTCTTGAGCCAGGCATTCATAGTCCATGAGGCTCTTAGCACTTCTGTCTTCCAAACTTCTACTAGGTTGGACTATGAATCCATGCTTATTGCATTTAACCAATTTTCTAGTCCAAAGTATGAAAGTCTTCCACATTCATCCAAAACCAGTATGGTCAGATGTGTCACAGCAAGAGCCCATTCCCCAGCACCAATTTCTGTCTTAATTACTTTTCTGTCACTGAGATTGGACACCATGGCCAAAGAAATGTACAGAACCAAAAGTTTATTTTGGGCTTACAGTTTGCCATAACAATCATGGCAGGGAGCATGTGGCAGGCAGACAGCAGATAGGCAGACAAGCAGAGCTCTGGAGAAGTAACTGAGAGCTCACATTTTGTGAGACTTGGGCCAAGGGCCATTTCTGTGTCTGTGGTCCTTCAACAGCAGGGGTCTATGTAGAAGTCTCTCAGCCATGTTGCCACCATACCGATCTGAGTGGCCTGTGCATCCACCAAGGATGTCGCCTGCTCCCGAGCTGTTGATAAGGGCCGGGGCCTGTGGTTCATAGAAACCATGCATGACGAAATCAGAGGGCCATACTGAGCTGGCCCTGCCGTTCATGGCCCTTCGCTGGACACTGTAGCAAGAGAGCTGGCCCCAGCTGTAGCAAGCTTTTCACTGGCCGCCAGCTCACAAATAATGATGGCACAGAGACTTCTTATAAACTATGAAAGCTTGGTCATTAGCTTAGGCTGGTCCCACTAGCTCTTTTAACTTAAATTAACCTGCCACCTACCATTCCTTACCCATCCTACCATGACTTGGTTACATCTACTCTGTGCTATATGTCTGACTGCTTCAGCATCTCTCTAGTGTCTCCTGCAGTCCTGTATTCTTTGTTCCTCTTCTTTCCGCTTTCCCCTAAACACATACCCATTCTTTCCTGCCTGGCTATTGACCAGTCAGCTCTTTATTAAACCAATCAGAAATCACCTTATGCAGGGACACATCTTTAAGTGTAGACCCTCATGGGAGAGCTGGCCCCCTGCACTCAGAAGAGGTGCCCCACTCCTCACCACAGACGAGACAGAACTGACTCTAATGGCTTGGGCACAGGGGAGCTGACTCTGCCCCTCACTTGAATGGAACAGTCCTAGTAGCCTGGACTGAGGAGTTCAGCCACCTAGGCCCACACCTGGGTCTTAGGTTGGCCCACCCTAACATCTACTCCATTTAGGACTTGCTGGAACTTATGAAGGGACTGGTCCTGTGGAACAATACCTGCAGGATCTCCATAACTTCGAGTGTCCATAGGATATCCGTGAGGAGTTTCAGTGAGAATCCAGTAATGTGGAGGAGCAGAAACCAGAGGCTCCAGTGCCACCAGGAAGAAGGAGAAGGTGTTGGAGAGGTAGGAAAGATGGAGGAGTAAAAAGGTTTTGTTGTTGTTGTTTTTTTTATTCTTGCTTGTTTTGATCTTAAAAAATTTTCTTTTGGGACAGTTCTTCAGGGTTCAGGGAAATGTATGAAGGGACTGGGAAGAGGATGGAATTGGGGTGCATGATGTGGAATTTCAAAAGAACCAATAAAGAAATTCTGTTAAATAAAAAATAAAAATATCATTGTAATTTTGTTGGAGATTTTCTTTTTTAAAAGATATTATTATTATTATTATTACAAATTTTAACCTCCTCCCATTTCTCTCCCCCTCCCCCATCCCTTCTCTCCCTCCCTCTCCAGTCCAAAGAGCTGTCAGGGTTCCCTGCTCTGTAGGAAGTCCAAGGTCCTCCCCCCTCCATCCAGGTCTAGGAAGGTGAGCATCCAAACAGACTAGGTTCCGACAAAGCCAGTACATGGAACAGAATCAAAACTCAGTGTCATTGTCCTTGGCTTCTCAGTCAGCCCTCCACATCAGCCACGTTCAGAAAATCCGGTTTGATCACATGCTCCATCAGTCCCAGTCCAGCAGGCCTTGGTGAGTTCCCATTAGATCTGCCCCACCATGACAGTGGGTGGGCGCACCCCTCATGGCCCTGACTTCCTTGCTCGTGTTCTCTCTCCTTCGGCTCCTCATTTGGACTTTGGGAGCTCAGTCCAGTGCTCCAATGTGGGTCTCTGTCTCTACCTCCATCCATCGCCAGATGAAGGTTCTATGGTGATATGCAATATCAGAGTGGCTACAGTATAGGGCCAGTTCAGGTGCCCTCTCCTCAGCTGCTCAAGGAACAAGCTGGGGACATCTCCTTGGACACCTGGGAACCCCTCTAGAGTCCAGTCTCTTGCCAACCCTAAAATGGCTCCCTTAATTAAGATATATACTTCCCTGCTCCCACATCCACTCCCCCTCCAATTTTATTGATCCAGTAGATCACTTCTTATGATATTACCATTTTAATAATATTAATTCTGCCTATCTATAAAGATGGAACATTTTTTCTTCATATAATATCCTCTTCAATTTTTCCCACTATTTTATAATTTTTTATTAGAGAGGGTTTTACTTCTTATTCCAGGGTACTTTTGAAAGAGGATATTGTAAATGGAATTATTATCATTGTTGTTGTTGTTATTAGTATTATTGGCTTCTTTCTTGTCAAATTTGTTGGTGTTTGGAAAAGATACTAATCTCTGAATTTTCATTTTTGCATCTTGATGCTGTGCTTTAAATGTTTCTTAGATGTAAAAGTTTTCTAGAGTGACTTCAGTCTTTGAAGGCAGGATTATGAGTCTGGAGGTTGGGGGTCTATGATCAGTAGGGAAATTCATCTGTACCCTTCCTTATTTTCTGTGCTCTTATCCATCTTATCTGGGTTTCATTCACCATAGAATGAGCTTCCTGGGTGTGCCAACTCTTATTGTGTGGTCCTAATTATTAGCATGCAGCATATTTTTGTCTTTTCTGATCAAGGCTGACTTGATATCTGCTTTGTCAGAAATCTCAGTAGATAAAAGGGTTGGGACATGGCTAACTCTTGACCTTATCTCATGCACTCTTGGAATCCTATCCAGGAAGTACTGTCCTATTTCTTCACTATGAAATATTTCCCTATGTTTCCTTCTGCTTAAGGTCTTTGATTAATTTTGAGATGGTTTTTAAACAGGGTGAGAAATAGGATCCTGTTTTATTCTCTTACATGGAAATTCAGTTTTCCTAGTATCAATTTGTTGAAGAAACTGTCCTTTCTGACTAGGTCCAAGGCTCCGACTCTGGATTCTGTTCTGTGCCATCCATCTGGATGCCCATCTTGTACTAGTACCATGCAAGTTTTGTTGTGTGGCTCTGTGGTAAATTTACTGTTTTTATTTTTATTTTTTCTTTCAACTAAAATAGAATATTTTTTTAGGTATCCTGACTCTTTTCTGTTGGATCAGGGTACCTTTTCTTACTGTTCTGGTAATTTACATATTTCAAAGATACTAATCTTTTGTTTATTATTTAATGTTATTGTGAGTGTTTTTTTAGAAGAGTAATACAAGTTTAGCTAAAAGTGTAAAGGTAACTTGCTGTTGTAGAAAAGGTGGTGGAAAACTTTAAGTTTGTCTGAAGGTTTTGGTCTACTGCTATTGGAAATGGCAAACACTAAGTGCAGCTGACTGTAGGGCAGTCTCTGCTCACAGACTGTGTTGTTAAATCCCTTAGAGGACTAATTATTGCTTATCTAGATAAGATGTATGCAGCACATTGATGTCTTTCCGTGTTTACAGTCATTCAGTGAGATGTTTCTGATGCACACTATGGCTTAATACTTATTTAGAAACAAAATTGCTCTAGTATTTTCTGTCTTTGTGGAGATACTTTCATTTTCCCAACAAACCAGGCTTCTAAAATTGATAGTTTATCATTAGTTATAATGGAGATAGAGGACATACTGGTGACCCCTTATAGTCCTACATATTCTAGGAAATAAAAAGCAATAATTTTCCAAGTGAAATTAGCTTCTTTTCTTCATTTTTCTTCCTTTTTGCTTTTTTTTGGAGGGGTTTCGAGACAGGGTCTCTCTGTTGCTTTGGAGTCTGTCCTGGAACTAGCTCTTGTAGACCAGGTTGGCCTTGAACTCACAGAGATCCACCTGCTTCTGCCTCCCAAATGCTGGGATTAAAGATGTGTGCCACCACTGCATGGTTTCACTTTATTTTTTAGATAAATTCACATTACAGACCTTAAGCTATCATCCAACTGGCAATTCTCCTGCATCAGCCTCTGGAGTGCTGGAATTACAGATCTGTACCATCATGATTGGTCAATTTTGTTTTTAGTCAATAAGACAAGATGAGATGGTCTTTTAAAACAAGAGCACAGGTTTTATAGTTTCAGAAATTTCTTCATTGCATGTTTCATATCTTTGTTCCTCAGACTGTAGATCACAGGATTAATGAGTGGAGTAACCACGGAATAAAACAGAGTCACAAGCTTCTGCATTCCAGCTGTATGCTCAGATGTTGGGCTCACATACATGACCATCACTGATCCATAGAAAAGAGAAACCACAGTCAAATGGGACCCACAAGTGGAGAAGGCCTTCCTTCGTCCAGCCGCTGAAGGAACCCTCAAAACAGCTCTCATTACCAAAGCATAAGACCCCATGATAAAGAAAAATGGGACAAATAAAAGTAGGGAACTTAAGGTGGAACTAGTCAACTCTATTAAAGAATCTCTCACACAGCTGAGGGCCAAGAGAGGGCCAGGGTCACATAGGAAATGGTCTATAATCCTGGACCCACAGAAGGACATCTGGGAGATGATGATGATGGGAACAGGGAACCAGAGGAAACCAAGAACCCAGCAAGTGATCACCAGGATGTTACAGAGGTGCCCAGTCATAAGGGCAGAATAGTGTAGAGGCCTGCAGATGGCAAGGTAGCGATCAAAGGCCATAACTGCCAGGAAAAAGCATTCTGTAGAACCCAAGGAGAAGAAAAAATAGAACTGCAGGAAGCACCCAGAGAAGGAGATGACCTTGGTGTCAGAGAGGAAGTTGGCCAGCATGTTGGGGACAGTAGAGGTGACATACCAGATCTCCAGGAAGGAGAAGTTGGCCAGCAGGAGGTACATGGGGGTGTGGAGTATCTGATCCCAGCACACAGCACAGATGATGGAAGCATTGCCCATGAGTGTGAGGAGGTAGACAACAAAGAATAGCACAAAGAGGAGGATCTGCCCTTCTCTTGGGCAGGGAAATCCCAGGAGAATGAAGCCAGAGATGGTGCTGGAGTTACTGGGGCTGCTGAGGGTTTTCATCTGTCGGTGAGATGTAAAGTCACTAGAAACTGTCAAATGACAGTTTAAAGAGAAATTAGAATGAAGAAAAGTGTTTAAGTCATCTTTGGGAAATGCAAACATTTACTTATTTATTGTCACTGTTTTGTTTAATCCTGAAGCCTCATGTTTGGCATAGTTTTGGTCTGTAGAAAACCAATGATGTTAGAGAACATTAATACAAAGGTCACAGAAGTTTTCTTTTTGTGTAATGAGTGAACTAGGTACAAGATGTAACTAATATTTAATTTAGTAAGTCATAAAGAAAACACAACTAGGCAGACTATCCCTCCTGCTGTCACATGTTTGTTTATGACAATTTCTTCCTCTTTCCTTATAATTTAATGCCATTTAAAAGCTGTTACTTTAAAAAAAGTTGTTCTTCATTTTCCCCGCTTCTGTTCTTCCCACAAATAAAATCACCCTGTTGGTCTTTTGGATGGTATCTTTTGCTCAGTAACTTTATGATATTTTCATGGCTCTATATCTTACAGGAATAAAGTATCACTCATTAAAATCACCCTATGGGGGATGAATATTTGGTTCTTTTCCAGGACCAATGACTCTTTTGTCACACATCTTTAGAGTACTCATCACTGAATTGATATTCTACCACTCGCCCTGGTTTATGTGAATTCTGTCGCTGTTCCTCTCTAGTGTGAAGGGCTCTACCTCAGCCTGAGCGATGACAGAGGCTGTGCTTTAACAAATTTTCTTTTTCTTTCTTTGCTACATTGGGTGGCTCTCTTTTTGGCAGTACTAATTTTTTTTCAGAGTAGATGACCACATTAAACATGTTTTGCTTTCAACAAAGATTATTCACTAAATGATCTTGAAAACTGTCCACCAGATGTTTTAGAGGACAACTTTAGTACATATTTAATCTTACAGCCTCTCTGGGAAGTTTAGTATCTATGGAGATCAGCCTGTAATCAGTATTATGTTTTAAACTAGGTTTTTAAAAATTCTTTAAATCCATTTTCTTTTATTGACAATAAATTATTTTTTCATACAATATATCCTTACTATAATTTTCTCTCCCTCTACTCTTCCCAGTTCCTCTCACATTCCCTTTCCTCTGGATCCTCTCTCTTTCTGTCTATCATTAGAAAAGGACAGGCTTCTAATAAATAACAGCCAAGCATGACCAAATAAAATATAATAAGATGGAA